CGTCTCTAGCCCAGCTTAGCCGACCTGGCAACACGCACAGTATGGGTCACTGTGAGGGGTGTCGGGGTTCTATGACCGCCTCATCGAACCGAAATGCACGCTAAATGTCCTAGTCGGGCGCCTATTGCGCAATCGGAGTCTTCTCAACAGCTCAGTGTTTGGTCACTTGAACGAAGGGGATCGCTGCGTGGTGAGGAAAAGCCTAAAATTCAAACTTTTTCCCCAATAAATTATGTCCTGATGGCATTATTCTACGTCCTCTGAATAATTTCCAAGGAAACGGATGGATTTTTTTGAAAATTGCATAAACAGCAGAATTTATTGGACCCATAAATTTCGAGAGTGCTCATCAGCTACTTGAAAAAAGGGTCTCCTTTGTTTTAAAAAGCAGGCTAATTGTGAAATTTGTACTATGGAGGAGTGTGCTTTCCTAAATCTACTTATCTGCCCAACTATAAGTGCCGCTTATAAAGCGTACAACTTGGTGCACATCCACAACAACTTCCTTTGAAAACTAATTACCTTCTTCCTCAAGTCAAAAGAACTTATGCGGCATGTAATTTGGAGATCTTCAACTGCAAGAGACAAAGGACATACCGTAAGCCGGAAATTAATAGCCCACATTTCTTGCGTTTCATCGGCCAGTTTAGACGGCTGCAGAACATGAGAGAAATACAAAATTGAATTCGTATAGAATAATCGATGCAAACAGCAAGGTCAGAGAAAATGGTCACGGAGGTTAATCAATAACCTAAGCAAGTGAAAACACGGTGGGCATCAAAAGTGGGGAAGAAACGTTTGAGGCAAAATGTTGGGCAGGGAAATGTGTAATCAAGGAGCCTTGCCGTTTGCGTCGATTTTTCTGTACAAATTCAATTATGTATTTTCTCTTATGTTATTCACCTTATGCAACGAGAGGTAGCAGTTGATGAGCACTCTCGAAATTTACGAATCGAATAAATTCTGCTGTTTACGCTATCTTTACAATTACATCACGGAAAATCTGCTTTAAATAATGAAGTATTAGGAGGGATTTGGCAGAGTTTAATAGTTCACTTTACCTAAAGAGCTTACCAACACTGGGGTCGATTTACACATTTCGACTAAGCCTTGTAGTTCAGTTGGCCTTTCCTGGCTGGCATGGCATCCAGTCCCACCGGCCCCGCGGAGTTTTGGCTCAGTTGACATAATAAGTCCCATTTTGGAACGCCAGATGAACCGAGCACTTGGGCCGGGGAACCACAGCAGACGCGTCTCCGTCGCGTTCCCACCCGCCCTCACGGCG